GGCAACAGAATGAAGTATAAATTCACATCACACATTGAAAGGAACAAGTGTTGTGTCAGAAGAAACAGAGGAGTTTGGGATGATGAATGAAAGATGAGTTTGGAAAGGGGACCAGATGTTGGAGAGCCAGGTTAAACAGTTTTAACTTTACCCTTTAGAGTCACTAAAGGGCTTTGAATGTGTTTCTGTTTTTGCTTCTTCTTTTTTTTTTAAAAAAAAAAAAAGCACTACAAAGTTTCCATTAAGGTCTATTAGTATTAAGGAGGAAAGATTTTTTTGTTTTAAACATGCAGTGCTAGAAACAAACTATTATCTCAGATTTATTTCACTGGACAAACAGCACTACTCAGTTCATGGCAAATAGATGGGGAGAAAGTGGAAAGAGTGGCAGATTTTATTTTGGGGGGCTGAGAACGGTGACTGCAGCCTCGAAATTACAAGATGCTTGCTCCTTGGAAGAAAAGCTATGACAAACCTAAACAACATATTAAAAAGTAAAGACATCATTTTGCCAACAAAGGTCCGTCTAGTCAAAGCTATGGTCTTTTTCAGTAGTCATGTACGAATGTAAGAGCTGGACCATAAAGGCTCTGAGCTGAAGAATGGACGCTTTCGAACGGTGGTGTCGGAAAAGACTCTTGAGAGTCCCTTGGACAGCAAGGAGATCAAACCAGTCAATCTTAAGGCAATCAAGCCTGAATATTCATTGGAAGGACTGATGCTGAAACTGGAGGTCCAATACTTTGACCACCTGACGAGAAGAGCTGACTCATTGGAAAAGACCCTGATGCTGGGACAGACTGAAGGCGGGAGAAGAAGGGGACGACAGAGGATGAGACAGCTGGATGGCATCACCAACTCAACGGATGAGTTTGAGCAAACTCCAGCAGACAGTGAAGGACAGGGAAGCCTGGCGCGCTGCAGTCCATAGGTTGCAGGGTCAGACGCGACTCGGTGACTGAACACCAACAGTCCTCATGCCTCTAGACTTCTGCCATTTGTAGTGGGTGGGGGAAGAAAAGAGTTCGTCAAGGATGGAATTTCCTAAGAATTTCTTAGTAATAATAATGAAACATCATCTCTGATATAGCTTTAGTATTTGAGTACGCAGGTATACAAGTCACGATTATAAGCTCTAAGTGAAAAGCAAAGTTTTAAGATTCAAACACTGAGAGGAGCCTCAAGCTTTTTTTGTGTGATGCATCAGGTCTCAGCTGTGGCAGGTGGGATCTTTAGCTCCAGCATGCAAACTCTTATTTGCAGCATGTGGGATCTAGTTCCCCGACCAAGGATCGAACCCAGGCCCCCTGCACTGGCGGCGTAGAGTCTTAGTCACTGCACCACCGGGGAAGCCCCCTTAAAATCTGAAACCCAGACAGTAAGCATTTTATGATATCTTTAGAGGTGATACAAAGAAGCTCCTTTTGTGTGCCTGCGTGTGTTTTCACACAAGATATCACCTCTTGGTTTGAGACAGAAATACAACTCAAAACCTTTCCCTTGGTAGAAAACTTCCCCTCTTAATTTATAAGAAAAAAAGCTACAATTAGCAGCCCCCAAGCAATCAACCGTTAAAAGTAAAACCTCAAAACTGCTTCCCTCAATAAAAGCCAACAATTCCATAAAACAAGAGATGAAAGCAGATACAGAAAAGCTTAGGGGAGATACTATAAAATAACAAGATATAGCAAAATAACAAAATGAAATGAAACCTCAGCAGGTATACAGCCCAAGAAAGAAGCATAAGGGGAAAATAAAACCCTAACAGGAAAAAAAAAAAGGCCACCATGGACACGGTTCAAAGGAGGACGGACCCTGTTGAAGACATGCTGAGAGGCGGGGTAAGCGGCGCCAGCCAGAGGAGGCGGGACTCGGTTTCCCACACAGCGAAGTGTCTGGGGGCGAGCACCTCCGGGAGCGGCTCCTCCAGGTCTTCAGAAGTCTCCTGGGGAAGAATTTGGCAACCGTCTCCCACCCTTCAAACCACAGGCGGCTGCTCTAAGCGGCCTGCCTCCCCGCGGCGTCTTCAGACCTCCGCTCTCCCCGGCCTAACCGGGAAGCTGGGACTGAACCGCGCTGAGGCTGGGCGCCCAGGTCGAAGCCGGCCGGGCTGCCCACCGCGTCCAGCCCTAGGAAGGCGACGTCTTTCGCGTCGCAAAGGGCCCCAGCGGCTGCTTTCCTCTTCCCTTCTCTTGAAGACTATTTGCGTCCCTGAAACAGGGACGCATGGAAGCCAGACAACTCTGTCTCCAGCCAACTCCAGCTCACACACCGAGGAAACGGCTTTCTCCCTTTTGGTGTCGCGATTTCACTTCACTCTTATCATGCATCGATCATTCTGCTTCAGGGGGTGTGGTGCTATAAATAACATTGTAAATGTGACTTTAAGCAGGCTAGGTTCGGTTAACTAGAAGGCCTTGTCCGGCTGTTTATAGCAGTGGTCTCTAAACTCTGACCATCATCCTAGGAAGTACAAGATTTGTGGGCATGCAAATATGTTTATGGATAGATGATGTGGACATGCGCTACAGTATTCATATATTATGTTTATTATAAAATACAGAAATTTGTAAAAAAAATCAAAGATAAAAACATTTCACTTATTCATGGCAAATGAGTTTTTGCCATCACTCAAAATTATTAAGAACACTTAACAACAACAATGTGATTTTCACATACTTTATGATTTCTGAACATCACGGGTGAATTCTTTGTGACTGAGCGATTTCAGTGTTTTTTAAATACTCTATTTATTATGTATTTGGCTGTGCGGGGCCTTCGCTGTGGCACTCGGGTCTTCGAGGCACACACACTGTCTCCCGCTGTGGCTGAGGCCCAGAGGTCGAGGGGCGCAGGCCTCATTGCTCCGCAGGATCCAGGACACGAGTTCCCCAACGAGGGATCACACCCGTGGCCCGTGGACCGCGGGGCGGATTCTTGGCCACGGGACCACCAGGGAAATCCCAAGTTCAACGTGTTTTAATACTAGGTCTTACATAGACAGATCCAAACAGGAAATGGGCATCGTGACACAGAATCTCTCAGTTTTTAATTCTATCCTCTGATTATAAAAAAGTTTAAGGGGTTTGTTTTATTTTGTTAACCATTTTGTTGGTATTGCTAATTGAGACTCAGCTAATAAATATTCATCTCTCCTGATATCAATTAGTTAGTTGCTCTTATCAAAGCTATTAAATTTTTATATTGAGACTTTAAAAAAATTGTGCTGTCAAATCACAATGCTTCCTTTTTTTCAGCAGATTAGAACACTGTTTCCGACTTATTGAGCATGCAAATATAAAGGTTTTAGTAGGCGACACATATTTTTAAAAACAGAATCACATTTCCAAACACCCATTCTCAAAAATGTTCTCCCTATAGCACAGGTTTCTTTGGAGAAGCAGTTACTTTCCCACTCACTGTTAAAACACGGTTTCTACCTTGAAAGGCTGTACTTAAGTGGATTTTTCAAAATTACACTTGTGGCAAGAGGGGACAGCTCCTAAAACCTTTTAACACCCAAAGGTCAGCAAATGTGGACACCTGTCTTTTTGTAAAAGTAAAATGAAGTAATTCTTCATTCTTTTTGTGAAAAACCACCACCATGTGGTATAAATCCATTGACTCTCATTACTCATCCCAGAATGTACACAGATACCACAGTATCTGAAAGGCCGTGACATTCTGGAATAAATGGAGTGATACTGTCTTGGGGTACCTTGTCTGCAACTGGCTTGAACTCCTCTGCTCTTCAATAGCTTGCTCAATAATCTGCTTGCAAATGACGCAGCAAAAGAATTTCATATATGTCACTATTGATGACAGTGAGAGTAGATTCTTATTTCAAATAACCTGCTTGATAATTTCTACTGAGGACTGGCTTCTTGTCAGATTTCATGAAATTACTTTAATCCAAATGGGAACACCTGCCAGATATCCACCAATATCTCTTCTCTCCTTCTTCCTCATAGCAGAAATTCCATTTGAGCACACATGGCTGCCCAAAGCAGAGACTACATTTTCCAGACCCACCTCTGCCTTATAGCTACTCATGGCCTTGGAACTAAGCTTCGGTCACGGGGATGTATGAAGAAACAATGGCTAGCCTTAAAAAGAGAGGCCTATCTTCTGCTCCCTTTCCACCTATCTATTTGGAATTCAGGTGTGATGGCTGGAACTTCGGCAGCTATCTGGAAGCAAGAGGGAGAAGCCAGGTGCTGAGGCGGCCAGAATAAAAGGGCAGGAATCTGGGCCCTTCACAGCTGTGCTGCCCTCAGATCAGCCCCGGACGCCCCTGTGTTTCCGGCTCTTTTTTCCAAGCTTTGTTATTTTGGGTTTTCTGGCAACAGGACTGATGAGGAGCTCATGTGAGCAGTCAGAGTAGAGGCAGCGCTGCCATTTTCTCACAGCAGCGTGTGCTAACACCACTTACGATGCCTTCAACCTGCAGTGTCCCGACAGAAGTGTTCACACCATTCGCCCATTCTGTCAGGATCAGCTTACAAGGACGATGTAAATGCAGTCCTTACATCTACTTTCTCAGTGTGCATGAACCGCAGCACGGGTCCACCACTGCTGAACCCACCTGTATTCTCCATACGACCCAAAGGCTGTTTGTAACCTGTGTCTGATGAAATGCAGACCTCGGGGAGCAGCGGCATCCCCGTCAGTTAACAGAGCTTTGCAGGGGCGGGTGTGGCCAGCACATCACTGCACAAAGAAGCCCTACTTTCTCTCTGCTCCTCTCCACCCCTACCAACAAACGGTTTTTGCACCTTCCTGGTATGCAAGCACTCCACCCACTTTAGGGCCCACTGTCAAGGCTGTGGATGGATTAACAGCTAACTATAAAATTCTCCCCTGGACCATGACAATATCCTGTGAGAGGAACACGTCCACAAGTGAAAAACAAACATAAGTGAGTGTTCTCCGTAAAACTGAAAATTTGCACAGGCAAATGGTAAAACAAGGGCATGTATGCATAAAGACTGATGCCTTACCTGAATACCTCGAGAATAATCCTTTCTGATAACTTGGGAGCCACCTGCTTAAATGCTTTCTTGAAATCTTCCAGAGTTAAATATCCACGATCTATTTGAAGGCAGAATACATAACATTCATGTACTACTAAAAGTCCTGTGAACTGCTATTTCAGCCACTATATTTGCGTGAGACTTTAACACATAACTAGGAGAAAAGCAGGAATCTACAGTTGATTTTACATGTCAGGTAATCTGAGACTGCCTCACTGGCTTACTGTATTACTCTAGTATCATTCCTGTCATACAGGACAGTCCCAGATGCTCCCGAAGCTTTCTTCCAGCCCCATCCCTTGCCGACTCCCTGAGTCCCAGCGGGAGCATTAAGAGACAGGCAGTAGGCTTCCGGTCTCTTTGAATTGCCAAAATGATTCATTCTTCAAAATGCACACATTTTTTCACATTTTTTTTAACATTTTTTTTCTTGCTTGGTTTTAGAACTGCATTATTATTTAGAGGGAAAACCATCACAGAAGCCAAAATACTGAACCTGGACTCCACGAGTCTTTCAACCCTGCGTTCTGTGAGGAGTGGGTCCAAAGCCACCCTTCTCGGCCACCCCAGCATGGGAAAACAATGCCTCCAATCACATGTGGGTCAGAGAAGGCGTCAGAGGAAAAGGCCCCGTGGTCTCCCAAGCTTCCGTAGGTTGCTCTTCACCTATATTCCCACGTGGCCAGCCCTTCTGATGTTCCCATTAAAATGCAAGCAAATCGTAAGTACAATCAGATTACTGCCGATGCTATTTCATCCACTGTAAAGGTCAAGATGTGGTTAAGGCTGTGATGGAGGAAAAAATATGCACACCAACATCTACCATAACAGCTAATGAATATAGGAAAACAGTCTTCCAATATATTATTTTATTGGGTTGGCCAAAAAGTTAGTTCAGGTTCTATAAGATGTTATGGAAAAACTCGAACAAACGTCTTGATCAGCCCACTATTTACTGAGTAAATGTTCCCATCCACAGTTCCTTAATAGCAATTTTTTATATCCAAACACTTTAAAGATACTTACAGTGCCTGTCAAAAGCCGTGAAGATGTGTCTTACTTCACTGCAATACAGTTGAGCTTCCTTCTTTTTCCTTACGATGTCTAAAAACTCCTTAAGTTGTATCCCTAAAAATTGGAAAAAAACGAGTTTACCAAAAATGACTGTCTTCCTCTTTAATAAAAAAGTGAAAGTGAAAGTGGCTCAGTTGTGTCCAACTCTTTTCGATCCCATGGACTGTAGTTCATGGAATTCTCCAGGCCAGAATACTGGAGTGCATAGCCTTCCCCTTCTCCAGGGGATCTTCCCAACCCAGGGATAGAATCCAGGTCTCCCGCATTGCAGCTGGATTCTTGACCAGCTGAGCCATCAGAGAAGCCCAAGAATTCTGGAGTGGGTAGCCTATCCCTCCTCCAGGGGATCTTCCTGACCCAGGAATCGAACCTGGGTCTTCCTGCATTGTAGGCGGATTCTTTACCAGCTGAGCTGCCAACATAAACGGATAGTGATACTATCGCCCACAAATGTTACCTTGATCTTGGTAAGCAGTATCCATTCACACAGATCTCTAAAGCTGAAGAGGCATTTTGTTAAAAGCCACGCCGGCTCCACATTAGCGACACGTAAGACACTCCAACCAGCATCACAGCACTTGAGGAGCCCCCGAGCTGCCTCTGGGGGCAGAGACGATGACCGTGGAGAGGCGTGGCAGTCTTCCCTCGAGATCCAATGGACGGGGCTAAAGCTACTTACAACACAAGGTCTCCTAATTCTTCTTTCCACGGGCGTCTTTGATCCCTTTTCTCTAAGCCAGGTGTCATTACGACAGGTTTTTCTCCAGCTGGGAGAGCGGGGCGAAGAAGTAGTTTCTCAAAAGTCAATACTAATCGCACACCACAGATAGAGGTGGAGCGAACACCCCATAAACAATAGAGCTGGCAGTGTCCCCAGCCTCCGGGACACCCCAGGACTGCAGCCTCGGGCTCTACTTCCTGTGGTCCTCATAATAAAAGAGCCCAGCGTGATCACAGGAGATTGGATACTGCGCTCACGATGTCTATTAAAATGAATTCTAATGTGATCTTTGTAGTAGGCTTAAAGAGTGAAGCCAAGAATTTAAACGTTTTAGTGAACTGAGCCCTAAATATATAAAAAGAGCAGTTCGTTTTTATAAGTCAGGATTTCCATTTTAAAATGTATCACTCTTTTAAAAATAGCCCCAAATCACACGTGCTAATTTTTAAGGACTTGCACCCTTTTCCTTTTGGTGAGGTATACTGAGCTACATACAGTTCCCAAAATAGTTTCAATATTTTTTTTTAAGTAGAAAATAGTTTTCTAACTTTTCCACAGTTTTCTTATCTGTAGTTAAAAGATTCATGAATTTGAAAATGTATATCTTGGGGACTTCCATGGTGGTCCAGTGGTTAAGATGTCACCTTCCAGGGTAAGGGGAACAGTTTCGATACCTGGTCAGGAACCAAGATTCCACATTCCTCAAGGCCAAAAAGCCAACACATAAAACAGAAGCAAAACTGTAAGATATTCAATAAAGACTCAAAAAATGGCCCACATCAAAAAAAAAAAAAAGCCCATCTATGTGTTTAAATTATCCTTTTGTAGGACTGACTGTGTGCCCAGCACTGTGTTAAGCTCTAGAAACAGAAGGGAAAAGAGAAAATACAGATTTCCTGTGCCAAGGGAGTCAATGGTCTACTGGGGGAGACAGAGACTATGCAGATTCAATTACAAATGTATAAACAATTACAAACCATGACTTGTGCAAAGAGGGGGATAATAGGAGGGCGTGAACATGTCACAGAAGCCCTCCTGTGGGGCAGGGTCAAGGCTGGGGAAAGGCAGGCTCAAGAGGGAGTGGCTAGAGGTACACTTGGAGCTGATTCACTTGTGCAGCAGGAGCCAACACAACGCTGTAAAGCAATTACACTCCAGTAAAAAGTGAGTAAATAAATGCAAGAGAACCAACTTCCTCCCTTACTTAGTTATGTGTGTGTGTGTGTTAGTCACTCAGTTGTGTCCAACTCTTTGTGACCCCATGGACTGTTGTAGCCCGCCAGACCCCTCTGTCCATGGGATTCTCCAGGCAAGAATACTGGAGTGGGTTGCCATTAAAAGCCTTTAAACTGTATACCAAATGATAAAACAGGAACTGAAATAATTAATATCAATAAATTACTATTACCATGAAAACAAACAAACAAAAAGAAATCATGCTGTAGAGTGGACTCTGGCGAAGAAGAGATTTCTCAGAGGAGGTAACACCGAGGCTAAGACCTAAATGAAGCTCCAATCCTTTGGCCACCTGATTCAAAGAGCTGACTCATTGGAAAAGACCCTGAGGCTGGGAAAGACTGAAGGCAGGAGGAGAAGGGGACGACAGAGGATGAGATGGTGGGATGGCATCACCAACTCAACGGACATGACTTTGAGTAAACTCCGGGAGTTGGTGATGGACAGGGAGGCCTGGCGTGCTGCAGTCCATGGGGTCGCAAAGAGTCAGACATGACTGAGCAACTGAACTGAACTGAATGCCTAAATGGTAAGAAGGTACCAACTGGCTAAAGCGTCAGAAGAGCACTCCGCACGGCGCAATGAGCATGTGCCCAGGCCACGGGGAGCGAAGTGCGGGAAACGAAAAGGCCCCTGCGGCTTGGCAGTGGTGAAGACACGGGCTGGGAAAGGAGGGAGCGGCTGAACAGGAAATAAGGTGGTTTTTATTTCGGTTAATAGGAAATCAAGTAAGAAGTCTGGATTGAGAAGTGACAAGATCTGATTTAGAAAGATCATGGAAGTATCTCTCTGGCTATTGTTTTGAAAAAGGACTAGGGAGAAAGCAAAATAGAGAAAAGGAGACTCATTAGGCTCCTACTGGCCAGACAGGTGGTCAGGAGGGTGCGGGCAGCAGGACCCGGGAGCGATGAAAGGTTCCAGACAGACTGCAGAGAAGAAGGGTTAGATACGGAGCATGCAAAAGAAGATGCCACAAGGTTGAGCCCCGAGAGGAGGTTTGAGGAGTCGTTTAAAGAGACGGGAAAGACGAGGGGAAGCGGGAGGGGGGTGGCAGAGAGATGGAGTGGCGATTTGGAGATGCTAGCAGTTTGATGCTTTGGAGACAACCAAGAGTGAAAGGCAAGAACAAGTGGCAGCAGATGCTTTGGGCACTTAGACGTGCAACGATGCAGTCCCACTCTCATCAGGCCCCCCGATAATAACCTGCTGCGCGTCTACCCGAGACTCACTGAGAGAAGCCCTGTCGTCAAGTTCATCCCCAGTGTTGAGGAAGATGTTTAGCCTGTAGAAGCACTCCTCGCATGCTGAATAAGTAAATAAACTCATGCGTGCATGCTAAGTCACTTCTGTCATGTCCGACTCTTTGTGACCTCATGGACTGTAGCCCGCCAGGCTCCTCTGTCCATGGGATTCTCCAGGCAAGAATACTGGAGTGGGTTGCCATGTCCTCCTTCACGGGATCTTCCCGACCCAGGGATCGAACCTGAATCTCTTTCGTCTACTGCATTGGCAGGTGGGATTTTTGTCACTAGCGCCACCAGAAGACATTTTTTCTATTAGAGTTTTCAGCAAAAAGCATTAAAATGTGTGTTTTAAATGCTCTTATAACTCTGGACACTAATGCCAAAAAGTAGGTCACTATTTAATCACATAGCCAGCAAAATCATCATTTTAGAAACCCCAATTTCTTAATACCTATGATACAGTAAAAAACAAATTTCAGAGGGAAAGGAAATACATGCATAATATTTGCTCTTCACTTATTGCATTTGATTTTGGGAAATGATAAGAAAAAAAAGCACAACTGCATTGTTCAATATGTGATACAGATTCACAAGGAAAAAAAGCTACATGAGCAGGGAATATCTTTTAAATTACATATTCAGAAGACTCACCACTATTTGGGGCTATATAGTCAGGTCTTTATTTCATAATCTTGGGGGTAAAAAGCAAATGTTCTTTACTATTTCCTAGGAGAAAATATATGCAACTGCATATATTCAACTGCAATGCTTATTACCACTTAAAAAGAAGAAACAGGGACTTCTCCGGCAGTTCCGTAGTTAAGACTCCAAGCTTCTAATGCAGGGGTTCTGGGTTGGATCCCTGATCAGGGAACTAGTATCCCACAAGCCTCATGGCATGGCCAAAAAAAAATAAGAAGAAACAACCTAATAATACAAATAACTCCATAAATGTAATCAAGTTCATTCATACTATTTTCCCACAGGATCATATACCTTGTGTTTTTAAGTCAACATCAAACCACATAAACATATCCTACAGCCTCATCCCCACCCCGCCTTTAACTTGCCTTAATCTTCAATAGCGACACATGCAAATGCATTCAATGCCAATGCAAGTTTCTTTTCCAGAAAGAATAGAGCAGTTTCCATCCAGCTGAGTGTTCATGCTGCAGAAGCATGATGACTTTCGAAGACCAGTGTATAAAGGTTTGTTATTCCTACAGCCCTGTGATGCAAACACTTTAATGAAAGTTTTAAACGTCTTACTGCTCTTTAAATGGCCTAGAAATACAGTTCCTACTATGAGCTCCACCTGCTGTCACAGTATTCGAACCTAAAATTACCGCTTCACAAACACTTACCATAACTCTAAATGCATTACCTGTGTCCATGCCTGGAGTGAAAGAGAATGTTGAGAACCTTCTAATTCCAAATACGAGGTTGAGTCTTCTGTGTAAACTATTCTAATGATAAAAGTTAACCTAAATACACTTTGCTATAGTTACATGTTAAGGTCATGACAACAGGAATCACGTAGACCTGTGTGTTTGTGTTTATCATTAATTTCCAGAAGGTGTTCAAAAATTGCCTAGGTCAGGCAACAGAGACTCGGAGAACAGACTTATGGACACAGTGGGGCAGGAGAGGTGAGTCGAGTGGAGAGAGCAGCACTGAAATATACACACGATGGTAAGTAGAACAGAGAGCGGAGGGGAGGCCACGTGTCCCGCAGGGAGCTCAGCCTGGTGCCCTGGCCATCCAGAGGGGTGGGGAGGGCGGGGAGCGGAGGCTCGGGACGGAGGGCGCCGTGTTTACCTACAGCTGATCCATGTTAACATACGGGGGAACCC